GATCAGTATTGTACTCACCAGTTCATAAACCAACAAAAGCGCACATAAATCAAAACCTGCTATTAATACTAGATAACCTAAAAAGTACATCTGCAACACAGAAATTAAAATTCCAGTCAATATGCGTTTCTCGTTTAGCAACAGTTTGACCTCAAAAAGCCAGTAATGTAAACCTTTATATACGAATAAAAATGATCAGACCACACTGAAATGGTATCAGTTTGATTAAAAACCTACTATTGTATCAAAAGTGAACAGACGTGTTATAGGTATGCCACTCTTCATACTATTAATATTTAAAAATGAATGGATTTCCTCAATTATTTGAAATATAATGTTCTAAAGATATAGCATATTTAACTTAATAAAAATCTATTGAGCAGTCAAAACGGAAATCCACATATAACTAATCTATTTCAAATAATTATGTATGCGCAACCACCAGTCTTTATATAGGATAAGGTCTGTATGTCGACGATTATTTATTGAAAGTTTGCTATACGAAAACAATGCTATGATACTTGTAACTAAGCTGGTAATAAACGACAGTAAACCTGACGCTCAAACAGATTATTTAGACTAATAATGCAAAGACAAAAAGCACTAGTATGTAGCGTTTACGATCCATGAATATGAAGAACAGTCTACCATTAATGACAAGTTCGTAAGTAAAGATGGATGGTGGTTAGTAGTGTAATACAGGACGCAACTTTAGTCCTATCTGGGACTCGTGGGGTGTATGTGCCTGCAACATGCGTCCTGGATTCCACTGCTAGCCACTATCCATTTTTACTTATAAAGCTTGTGACTTAAAGCAATATGGAGGAAGTGCACACAAAATGCACATTTGATAACAAGAGACTGATCACTTTCAGTCAATAGGAAAATACAAGCAAACAATAACAAGTGAATAAGAAGTTCGGTTTGAAAAGAATTTGTAGTTAATTGATGGGATCAAAAATGAATCTTTTTTTCTACCCCCAAATGCCCTGCTACGGCCGAGAGAAAGGAGAGTCCGCTCTCCCTCTCAAAATGCTCTCACATGGCCACGCGAATATATAGCCTCTCCCAAGGAAGTCCTACTCACTGCCTTCTCGTGGCGGGGGTGTTGTTTACGAAAGTGAGAGGACGAAAAGCGAGTGTCCGGCGCTTTAACCGGGTTGGTGGACACGGAAAGTCCACCTAGGGGAGTTGGAAAACCCTGATTCCAAACCAATGGTGCACATGGGCTCCAGTATCCTGATGGAACGAATGGCGAATGAACCTGCTGTTGGTCAACGGCTACCATGGGACTGCATCTCCTCACGATGCTCCACTGCCTTGTGGATCAAACCTTCAGGTCAAAGGCTCGGGGTGCGGCCCCTAAGAAAACCACCTGCTTCAGTCTGGGCACCTGGGCAGTATCACAGCCCTCACACAAATAAATGAAATGATGAATTCTATTGACGATACTATTCTCGCTCATATTAGAAGCAAGACAAATAATGCACGGCGTGGAAGTCTCTGAGACGACATTCGTAAAACATGTCCAAGCCACCGAAGTCGGTGTTTCAAGATGGTGACACCAATTGAATTATCGTCTCGGCGCCCGAACACACGATGCCGAACCTCTGCATTACTAACATGGTGTTGCCACTGGATGTCAGCAATCCTTCGGAGACAACGATGATCAAACACAGAGAGACGTCTAACATCCTCAACTCGGAGAGGCCAGGTTTCACAAGCATAGAGCAAAACTGCTCTCACCGACGCGTTGTAGATCCGACCTTTTACAGCCAGACTAACATCACGAAGACGCCAAAGATGGCCCAGATTGGCATAAGCCGCTCTGGCTTTCATTATACGTGCATCAATCTCATCACTCATGCCACCACCAGCACTTATATAGCTACCTAGATACACGAACTTCTCAACTACTTCAATCTACTCACCATCCAGGGTGAGTACAGGATGAGAATCCTGCCAGTCTTGTAGGAGTACTTTCCACTTGGAGGGTGCAAAGCACATGCCGTACCTGCGGACACTGATTGCCAACTGATTAAGTGCGAATTGCATGCCTTGGGCATTATCGCACAGTAAGACAATATCATTCGCATACTCGAGGTCGAGAAGTTGTTATCCAGGCAACATATCCACACCGCCATTACTTACATCCATCAGAGCTGTTTCTAGGATGTCATCGATGGCAAAGTTGAAGAGGAATGGTGAGATCGGGCAACCCTGCCTAACCCAACTGCTCGAATGGAACAAGGGAGAAAGGTGGTTGTATGCCCTCACTCTGCCTGAGGTGTTCGTATACAGGGCCTTTAAGATGTTAATGAACTTCTCAGGCACACCCTTCTTCAATAGACAATCCCAGAGAACAGTCCTGTCCAACGAATCGAAGGCCGCCCTGATATCAAGAAATACTACGATTGTTGGCCTGCGATAAGTATGACGTTGTTCTAACATTTGGCGGAGGGTGAAGATGTGATCAATGCATCCTCGACCAGAACGAAAACCAGCCTGCTCCTCGCGAGTCAATCGTTCTCGGGTTTTAAACAACCTACGAAGAATGATAGAAGTCAATAGTTTGGACGCAATCGAAAGTAGACTTATCCCCCGGTCGTTATTTCAGGAACAACGTGAACCCTTTTTAAAGATAGGGACGACTATCGACTCATTCCAAGATGTTGGAACACTTTCTTGCTCCCAAACCTTTCCAAACAACGCAGTCAGTTCCTTAGCCAGAAAGTCACCACCATCTTTAAAAAGAGCCGGAGGTAAGTCATCTGGGCCCGGTGATTTGTAACGTTTCAAGAGTTGGAGTTCCTTGCGGACTTCCACCTCGTTTGGTGGATCAGTCGTCACCGGCCATGGGGGGCAGGACAAGCTGGTTGATGTTGCCGGACCAGCAGGCCAGTTGAACTGCCCTTCGAAAAATTCCGCCCATCGTCCAAGACGTCGAGAGATGTTAGTGATTGGCATCCCATCATCCTCGTAGATTGTTTCACTCACACCAGACTTCTTGTTGCCAGTGGCTCGGATGGGTTGGAAGAGCTTCCGGCAGTTACCAGATGCAGCTGCCGCTTCCATCTCATTAGCACGCTCCGACCACCAGGCTTCCCGGTCCTTACGCAAGCTTTGCCCGACTTCATTACGTAACAGCCTTCGTTTGTGGTCAAACTCACGGTCACCCGGAGTAGACCGACGGGCTTCCATCAGTTGTAAGGAGCCAGAAGAAACCCAGTGCTTGTAAGCGGGACAATTCGCGAAGCCGCAAGTGGCTTTACTCGCCATTTTCATGGCGTCGTGAAGATACAACCAATGCTCATCTATACTTTTCGGTGGGATGGTAGCTAGCCTAGAAGCTAGCTCCGCTCGATAATTACTTGCAACAGAAGTTGCAGCCAGTTTACTAACATCGATCCGTTGGTGGTGGTCAATCCTTCGGCCACTGAAAAGTAAGGTGAGATTGGCGCAGACCAGGGCATGATCAGACTCCAGATAGGTACTCCAAAACGAGCGGCAGTCTTGTACACAACCACGCCAGCGGTAGCTGATCGCGATGTGATCAATCTGAGTCCAGGCTTGAGATGCAGAGGGAGGACGCCAGGTGGCACACCGGCGATGACTGTGCCGGAAGTTAGTGCTAGCCAGAAACAGGTTGTGGTCTGTGCACAGTCGCAGCAAACGGTCCCCGTTATCTGTCCTGCGACCAACAAGTCCTCATTGGCCACCTAAACGACTCTCTTCTGTGCCTAGACGCCCGACCTGAGCATTCAAGTCTCCGGCTAATACCATGGGCGAGCTACTGCATAAGTTGGAAAGGAAGGGTACACAATTTGGGAATAAAGGGAGTGAAAAAGCGACGTAGTAAATAATAGTAATAATAATAATAGTAATAACAATAATAATAATAATGGTAATAATAATAATAATAATAATAATGTAAATTGTCTTTATTCTACTAGGAACGAGAGCAGTGTAGTTAGTGTAGTGCGTCATTTCATGTCATTTGTGTGTGGGCTGTGATACTGTCCGGGTGCCCAAACCGAAGCAGGTGGTTTTCTTAGGGGGCCACACCCCGATCCTTTGACCTAAAGGTCTGATCTACAAGGCAGTGGATCATCGTGAGGAGATGCAGTCCCATGGTAGCCGTTGACCAACAGCAGGTTCATTCGCCATTCGTTCCATCAGGATACTGGAGCCCATGTGCACCATTGGTTTGGAATCAGGGTTTTCCAACTCCCCTAGGTGGACTTTCCGTGTCCACCAACCCGGTTAAAGCGCCGGACACTCGCTTTTCGTCCTCTCACTTTCGTAAACAACACCCCCGCCACGAGAAGGTAGTGAGTAGGACTTCCCTGGCAGAGGCTATATATTCGCGTGGCCATGTGAGAGCATTTCGAGAGGGAGAGTGGGCTCTCCCCACTCTCGGCCGTACCAGGGCATTTTAACTTTTCTAGAGCGCCTAAATTGTAGCAAGATCACAGAATGTTTGAAGTTAGACCCTAACACTATTAGATACCATCTTAGTGGTCTACAGGTCAAGTGTTCGCGCGCGAGACCGAAGGTGCTTGGTTGGAGTAACGTATGTGGGATCTAGTCAGCTGTCTAAATTAAGTTAAAGTTGTTTAAAAATCGAATTGCTGTATCCGTATAGTCATGGGGCTATATTGCTAGTGACTAAGCAAAACCTTCATTTGAATGGATTCAAGTAAACAGAAAAATTTAGAAAGTATAATGAACACTCTAGCTCTTTAAATTTGACGTAAACGTATTCTGATAGCAGGGAGATCAATTACAAAAATGGTTACTAAGATTTAAACAAACACACTCTTGACTGTGAGATCAAATCAAGTCTAATTTAAAGAAATTCAAAAACTGTTGCCCCTCGACAACAAAAGCACAGAGAATTTTAAATTTACAGGTAGTTTAAAATAAACTTATGTTGAGATTATCAACATGCAGATATTAATTCTAAAAGAGTGTATAATTTAACACAGACTTTGACTTACATTTAGGGGATTTTTAGGTCTAGGTAATGTGGAGAATTCTCTCCGTAGATGTTGTGCTTGAGATGTCTCGTCTTTATTAATACCTTCAGTTTGTTCCCAAGATACTTTACGTATAGATTGGGGTTGATCGTATTTGCATTCCAATAATTTGTTTGAATTGGATACTTGTATGGAATCGTTTATATGATCATTTGAATGTGTAATGTGTTTCGTCATCAGTGTAGGTAATAGATCTGCTTCGAAACTAGAATTAACTGTCGCACCTTTACATGAGACATTAGATCCATGACGACTGTGATTTTGATGAGCATTTTTTGTATTATGAACGAAATTTGACAGCTTTGACGGTGACCGGAATCCAAATCCACTATTCCAACCGTCAAATGTTAACCCAGTATTGTTTGAATGACATGCGCTTGTTGATGAACTATTTTGATTCTTTAAAATATTACTGCTGTCTAAATTGCTATTATTGGGACTAGAGATAGTTGAGGAAGTTGTTCCGTACATTTTCTGTGGTAAATATGACAAGGATGGTGTCGGTAATGTAGGAGGAGGTTCTAAAATAAGCGAAGTTTTATAATTATCTTCTTCTAAAAACTTCTGTAACTCTTCTATATAGCGTTGAGCACATAGATAAGCGTTGAGTGTTTCATCCACAGCAAAGGCTGAATAATTCGAATAAGTAAGAATGTATTAAGTCTTTAAAACATTTCAAATCAAAATTTTTAAACACAAATAGAGTGGTAACAAATTAAGTCTATTGTGTGGTAACTCGAGAAGACGTTCAACTGCGATGGCTCAACGGGTTAAGCAGTCAATTTTCAATCATTAAGCTGCAGGTTTGAACGTCGTTTCATATACTCCAACTTGGATAACCAAACACTAACCCTCAGACAATGTGGATTACATACAAGTACTTAAGTTGAGAACAAAGTAAGATGAGTGGGTATGAATAGTTTCCTAATAAATATGAGTTAGTCAACATTTGTTATCATAAAAATCAAACAGAAATCAGAGGAGAACGGGAGAAAAGTCAAGTATACATAGATGTTAGGGGTGTATAGATGATAGCTTCACAATCAAAACATCCGGATAAGACAATAAAAAATCAACAAAATTAAAGGTATTTTATTGCTAGTGAATTTAAAGAATAAGTTGCGTAGGATGAAAAATAACTGCTCGATGATAATACTGAGAGACGTCTAGTATGGAAACTTGGGGAGACGAATGTATACCAGGCTCTGCGTGGTTTATGGATGACAGAAACGTATCAACTAATAAATTCCTAAAAGACACTAAACATTTCCTTAAGGGCCGATGTAATTAGTGATGTAAGCTACTAAAAAAGAAGAAATAAACGTACCGATGAAGTCAAGATAATTGTTCTACCACCACTATTTTGGATCGTTTCTCAGATGCTAGAAATCAATGATGTGTAACAGTATTTTAGCTTCGATCAATAAACTGTGTCAGGAATTTAATGACAAACATATGCGAAATGTTTGATATAGTGGAGGGATTTCGCGCTTTCTGATTAACGACGATTAGACTAATTGGAAGGTATTGGAGTCAATGTAAACGACAGGATACATTTTTCAAATAGATGTGAAAATGTCACTGTAATAAACATAGTTGGAATGTGCAGTTTATTGGATAGTATTTTAAAATAACTCGACAAGTAAAGGATGATACGGGAAAAATAAAAAAATAACACTAAATTGTTTTAAAAGGTGAGTACCTTAATAGTAAAAAGAAAACATGAAACGCCACTGAATGATGATTTATTGGGAAATTTTTGGTCTTAAAACATAAACTGAGGAATCCTAACGAATAAATATATGTCAAGAAAAATCAAAAAATCAAAAAGGGACTTTAATCTAACTCACAGTATTCAGATTGTTGAAAATATGCTATTTTATCAATAATCGAGTTGATTTTTGAGAACCATATGGCAGTTGGTTTTCCATTTATACGTGGTTGAGCCACATTCGTATACGTTAAATCAGATAAATATAAACCTAAAAATGGTTAAAAAAAGACACTTTAATAGGTGGTAACTAGCAAGGTGTGTACGATTTAATTCTTACAAAACCCAGTCATGATGGCAAAAGATAACAAACGGGCGAAAACCAGTAATAAAATAGCTAAAACAAGCCGACTAATTTCCAAAAGTTTGATTATTAATGCAGTGCACTTGATAAATTAAATCTCTTGGTATTGAACCTTGAGGTACAATCAAGTGATATTACTTGGTTGGAGAGGGTGTCAAAATTTCGAACTAACACATTACTTAAAATAGTACAATTAGATAACCGTTACAACTGCATTAATGAAGAAAACTGGGTCGTAGCAACTAATACTTTAAAAAAGTTGTGATTAGGCATAAAAAGATCAACGTTTTGACTGGTGAGAATCGTATGTGAAATTCAAAATAAACGGACGCATTTAAACTGCATACTCAACATCCATTAAAAAGACTGGCAAGTGGATAACATTTCAGAAATTCAAAGAACGTTTCTTGATGAAAAAATATCCTGCACCCATCACAATTACAACAAACTAACAAAAAGAGGGCGATCAACAAACTACCCCACATCTTACTGTAAATTTGAACTCAAATAAGGAGTCGCTCCACGGGGTTATTAAACATCTTAAAGATGGAAAACATATCTAATATCCCATGACTTCTAAAAGATGCAGCGGTCAGGAACGTAAAAAATTTCACAAACACATGAGCAACTTTTATTAGATATACGACCTACCAATCACTTAAGCACAAGTTGGGCAGTTATAGATAAATACTTGGTAGACTAAGAATTATGAAAAAGTTAACGGAACCGTATTCACCTGACAGCAGACCAACTGTTAATAAAAATTTTATGATAGAAATGGTACCAATCGAAGTATTCATGAATCCAGTTATTTAGGTCATTTGAAAGAAATTAGATTGTGACGGACTTACTTACGCCTGTTACTCCCAATGGAGCATTGGCCGCCGACCAGCTTTCTCCAACCCACTCTGTCCTGGGCTTCCTTTTCTAGTTCTATCCAGTTCTTGTTCATTCTTCTCATGTCTGTCTCTATTTCTCGGCGTAATGTGTTCTTTGGTCTTCCTCTTCTCCTTTGGCCTCCAGGATTCCATGTGAGGGTTTGTCTAGCGCTTCCTCCTGATTTCTTCCTCCACTGGAATCTGATTTGTTGTCTCCCACAGTAACTTGTTGCTGATAGTGTCTGGCCATCGGATCCGAAGTATCTTGCTTAGACAGCTGTTAATAAACACTTGTATCTTCTGGATAATGGCTTTCGTATTTCTCCACGTCTCCGCCCCAACCAATGGTTGGAGACTCTAGGTGACATGGCTCACAATCGGTCACAATGGCGTAGGTGTATACACTCTTTATCTTCCCTTAAACCTTGAGACTAAAATTGCTTCATATCTCTCTTCCTTCCTGTACTATATCCTTATATACAACCTATAATTTATATACTACTACCAACACTAGATTAACTACTATGAATCCGGTGTTCCTCTTGTTGTGCTAACGAGGTATGGCAACTTGGACCGATGCATATATGTGCCTGGTCCTACGTTGTAGCTGACCTGACCTGACCATACAAAAGAACTGTCTTGACATTTGTATTGAAAATTCTAACCTTGGTGTTGGTTGACAGACAATTGTTTTGAGCTCCAGATGTTTTTCAGTTGTAAGTATGCTGCTCTTGCTTTGCCGATCCGCGCCCTCACATCTGCATCTGATCCACCGTGTTCATCAATGATGCTGCCCAGATATGTAAAGGTTTCCACATTCTCCAAAGCTTCTCCGTCAAGTGTAATTTGATTGGTGCATATTGTGTTGTATCGGAGAGTCTTGCTTTTCCCTTTGTTTATATTGAGACCTACTGCTGCTGAGGCTGCTGCTACACTGGTCGTTTTCTCCTGCATTTGTTGTTGCGTTTGTGATAGAACAAAAAGATCATCTGCGAAGTATAAATCGTCCAGCTGAATCCTGCCTGTCCACTGTATCCCGTGCTTTTCTCCAGATGTTGACGTCCACATGATAAGTGATGTCTTGCAAAGACGAAAAACAATTGACATGAAGTATATGGGAGAAAATCTATGAAAACCATATTACAAAACTATAAATCGTAGCTCGGGTAGTGCGCTATACGGGAGAGTATGAGACTACCTTGGAAAACTGAAAATAACACCTGGAGGTTTAGAGTTTAGTAAAATACAATACTTCATAATCTGGAAGGAGGGATATGTGAAGTGATAAGCTAGAACACCCGACTGTGTAACCAAGATCAAACAAACATTACCTAGATAAGGGATACCAGGAAGACTGATAGAATTCATATGTTCACGCTGTCTGCGACAATTATCATTCTGACTAAAAAGCTCCTCCAAACGCCTGTACGCTGCACGATCTTTGTTTCCAAGACCAGCCCATGTGTGCCTCAAACGATAAATGCATTCCACTTGTAGAGCAGATATGATTGACATGGCAGAATACAGATTATTGAATTCCACGAGTTTCTGAAACGAAAAATAGGAAAAAGAATTTTGCAAACTATTTGAAAACACTGTTTAGTCTTTAACAGAAATATTTTGTCTAAAACAGTCGATCTTGTTGGTGACTTGAAAGACAACGTTTGAAGGACTGTGATATAATAGTGCAATACATTTCAAATACTAAAACGTTACGAAGACTTTAACGAACACAAACTTACTTTGGAAATTTTGATAAAAAATGACAACATCTCAGTTCTCTTTGAAACACATGAGTACTTCAAGATTTCTTTTTGAACCCAGAAATTAATCTAAGGACGTTAAGGCACACAATGAGTTACTTGATTAAACCATCTAGTTGAAGCAACGATATTCGGGGCGCACAAGTGTTTTTCCCTGCCATTCCATTTTAGACTTGCGAACTCCTATGAAACACATTAAAGCGTTCTCCCTAAGACTTACCTCTCTATGTATGGCTTTGAAGTATGAAAGTTCTATCAAAGTGATTTGTTTCTGAGGAGTTATTTAAATGGCAGACTTACTGCAAATTCTTCAGAGCTGACTTTCGTAATATCAGCAAAAGCCACATCTTCAGCAAGAGAAGAGACTGGAGTATGGTCAGAAGTTAGAGGCTGATAGCATCCTGTTGACTTTACATACTCCATCAAAATCAACAACTGGCTTTGTATGAATGATCAGAAGAAAAAAATTTGCGATTTATGTCTTTTCCTCTAATCCTGAACACAAATCGGTTTAGCAAATCATCCCAAAACCAGAAAATTGCGCCAAAAAGCAAAGACGAAAACTGCGCATCATTCGTCAGCTTAAACAACTAAGAGCCTAAATAATAAAAAGGAAAAACAGAAACAACATTTAAACTCAAAAAGTCGTTATCACATTTAATAAAACATTGTTTGCAACTTGAATTTTTAGCGGCAGTTTAAGTCAAATAGCAATGCCTGACTTAAAATGTCCATTCCTGTGAATCACTTAGGAACAACTAATATTGTGTTGGTAAGTAGTGAATATTTTCTTACCACTATCAACGGATCTAGTTTTCACACCATACTCAGTATTTACTGCATATCACTGGAGACGTTTTGGTCATAAATAAGTGATTTTCTAGTATTTGTACCGAGTTTCAGGGATTTTGCACTTTCACGGTATTACTTTAGGCTGAAGTTTCTCTGGTTCATAAAGTGCAAAATGTCCCAGAATTCCAGCTTCGATGAGCTCTCTTCTGACTCTTCAATTTTTCGGTCTCTGATATTTTGTAGTCTCTTTGTAAGCAAAAATAAAAATCTTAAACGTCTATCGTCATGAAATATCCAACTTTTCATTTTTCCTGTGATGAGGAGTAAAGTTTGAGTTTCGGTTTATCGAGTTAAAGTAAGACTGCAAAGTAAATTGTTTTTACGATATTCAGTCCTCAACCGTTTGAACCATTTGGCGTACACGCAACTGCCACTCATAAGCTGAAGTAGTTAAATTTTGCTCCCTCGTTTAGTCTTGGTTGTTCGTACGAAAATGTTGAGTGTGTGTAGTTTTAGAAATGGGTGATTTAGTCAACAAGAATGTTGATGACGAACTAAATGAAGTTAGGTGCTGTCAAAAATCTTCTGTAGTCGAAATTTCTCGTTTGATGAAACTGAAGTTACCCTAAGAAAAGTAGTCTAATGATGGATAACTATTTGATTTAGTTACTTGCCCCCATGTTCCAGAGGAAAACTTATCACAGTAGTTGAAACACTTTACTGTACACGTTGTGGTTGCTTTATGCATTTTACAGCTTCAAGATCAGCACCTGCGATCCGTAAAATGATGGAGTGCTTTTTTGACGTTGAAATTTTAAAATCTTGTTTTGTCAAAAGTCATAGTAAATAGAGATGTTGACTATTATTGAAAAAAACTCCCTTGCTTTCACTCTAGAATCTGATTTTTCTTGCTCGTAGCACTATTTTTCTCTAAGCATCTCTATCGTTTAAGAGCCCCAACAATTACGCTCATGGTCATTTTTAACGTAGGATATGATGCAGATGTCGATCGGCACAGGTAGTTATGTTTCGTCAAAAAGTTGATGAATAACACCAAACTGAAAATCTTATTGTCTACACTATACTTGTCATCTCCACTGGATCGTCACGACAAACTGATTAAACCATCCAACCAAGACAACATTTGTGGTTGTAGTTGTCTCCATAGCTTTTCATCGTAATGGCAGTTCTGTGTACGTATATCGAATTACTATCCGCTCCATGTTCCCTCCACAGCTCAGGTAGGATGAGACTAATAAAGCTTAACGCGCGCAAATCATCTATCCGTCCATACAGTTACTGAGTAATAATCTGCCTCGTAGGTAGACTAGGAATTCCTGGGGTGCTCATCCAATATAAACTATTTAGTACTCTGAGACGTTAAGTGGTAACTCAAAATGAACCAGTTGCATACATTTATTGACCTGTCGCGTCTTTAATCTCGGACATATTCTTATCCGTCACTTATCCTCATTTTCCAATCCATATTTTTAAGCAAATCTTATAGCTCTCCACGCTTTGTTATTTAATGCTATTGAAAAGTGTGGCGACTGAAATGTGGAGCTCTTTTATAGACGTTTGTCTAGTCCCTTACGAATTGTTTCAGTTTAATCATTGTACATGCTACCCAAAGAATCCTGATTGGTGTTTTTTTCTAGCAAGATTTCTTTTCTGCGGGGTGAGGTTGCCGACCTCATGGTCAACCCTTCTGCTTTACCCGGTTTCTGAGACCGGCAGTAACTCTAGAAGAGCAACAGACCAAATTGCAACACTGCGGATAGTCGTCAAACAATCAGTTGAGTGGAATTTGTCACTATACATCAATTTCATTGACTATGACAAGGCGTTTGACAGTGTTGATAGAACATTATGGAAACATCTTCGATACTACGGAGTTCCTGGGAAAATAGTCAACATTATCCGAAACTCATACGACGGACTACAGTACAAAGTGGTGCATGAAGGACAGCTGACAGATGCATTTCCAGTAAAGACCGGATTCAGACAAGTCTGTATACTCTTCCCATTCCTCTTCTGGTGATTTATTGGATTATGAAAACCTCCACAGCTCACGGAAAGCACGGACTACAATGGACATTTCAGAATCAATTAGACGATTTGGACTTCGCAGATGACCTAGCCATCCTATCTCATACGCACGAACAAATACAGACGAAGACAACTAATGTAGCAGCAGCCTGTGTATCAATAAGCCTCAACATACACAAAGGAAAAAGCAAGATTCTCAAATACAACACGAAGAGCACCAACCCAGTCACACTTGATGGCAAAACCCTGGGAGATGAAACTTTTACGTATTGGGGAAGCATCATTGATAAACAAGAAGGATCGGATGCAGACGTAAAGGCGAGGATTGGCAAAGAAGGGACCTCATTTCTACAATCGAAAAACATATGGAACTCAAACGCAGCCAATATCTAAGTGAGAATCTTCAATACAAACGTCAAGACAGTCCTACTGTACGGAGCTAAAACGTAGAGAACTACTACAACCATCTTCAAGAAGATATTATTATTTACAAATAATTGTCTACGCAAGATATTCAATATCCGTTCACTGAATACCATCAGCAACAACCAAATATGGGAGAGAACAAACTAATTTTCGTCTGAAGAGAAAATTAGGAAAAGAGGATAGAAGTGGATAGCACATACATTACGGAAATCACCAATGTGCATCACGAGGCAAGCGCTAACTTGGAATCGTGAAGGGAAGCGGAAAAGAGGAAGGTCAAAGAACACATTACGCCAGGAAATAGAAGCAGATATGAAAAGGATGAATAACAACTGCAAAGAATGCCCAGGACAGGGTTGGATGGAGAATACTGGTAAATATCCTATACTCCTCCACGAGGGTTAACAGGCGTAAATAAGTACCTAAAGCAAAATGATATTAGTTGTTTCGCCTTCTACAATCATTTATTTATTTCAACACAAACATTAATACGAGGAGGCACCAAATAGATATGCGCCACATAAATTTAATGGTTTGTGCGAGGGCTGGAATACTCCCCGGATGCTCAAACCGAAACAGGCGGTTCTCTTAGAAGGCCACTCACAGAGCCTTCGACATAAAGGTCTGATTCACAAAGCAGTGAAGAAACGTCAGAAGATGCAGTCCCATGGTAGTCAGTGACCAGTAATTGGTTCACACACCATTTGTTCCCTCACGATCCTAGAGACAACGTGCACTATTGGTTTGGAATCAGGGTTTTCTAACTCCCCTAGGTGAATCCTCCGTGTCCACCAACCCGGGTAAAGCGTCGAACATTCGTTTATCGTTCTCTCAATTTCGTAAACCACCCTCGCCGCAAGGAGGCAGTGAGTAGGATTTCCCTGACAGTGGTTGTATGCATGTGGCCATATGAGAGCGTTTCGAGAGAGAGAGAGAGAGAGAGTTGACTCCCTCCACTCTCGGCCGTGCCAGGTTGTTTGGGGACTTTCTGAAAACAAATTCAACTCCCAAAATTTAAGTAACTCCGATCTGTTAAACTATTATGCCTAGAGAGTTCTGGGTCTATTAAGTCAAAACCAACAACTCTCTTCTACTATCATTAGCGCACCTAGTACTCGAAATCCCTTACCGTTCAACATACTAGTTCTATCTCTCTATACTACTGTTGTGTGACAAATGAAATGGATTCATATGAATCCCAGATTCTACGTTTATTTAAATTGACTTACTGCTCCATGTTACAGTTCATGTAAGTTATAGTCTTCACAGTTTTGCTGAGCGTTTTAAGGCCTGTTATCAGTCTGCAAAAGGTTAGTGGTCTATCGTCGATATTAGTAGTGTTTTTCCTGCAATCAATAGGATAATTTTTAAGGTTAGTATCTTTTTTCTGCTTTCCATGTATGTTTTTCATCATTTCCTTTATAACTACAACAGTTGTTTCTTCCATAAATTCATAATCCAAAGCTTCATTTCCAACTCACAGAAATACTCGGTGACCACCACGTATAACGAAATATTTGTATGAAAATGTTATTTTTTATCATTTTTCATTTGACTAGTGAATTCGTGTTTGTGCTTTTTTAGTTATTTAACTATAAGGTACTTCATTGATTTTCTTTTGTTTTTGAAACCCTAATTCTCGATAACTTTCTCCTTTGCTCACTTCAGGCTACTGATAATCCACGACAATCTTCCACTTGTTTGGAATCAGTTTCTGTTAATGATAAAACTGAAGTACATGTTGGAAGTCTTGGTTTAGGAACAGCTTTAGCCGTTGCTTATGATCTATGCAATGATACTGGAATTGTGAATCAATTCAATACCAATGCTAATTTATGTGCCTCAAATTCTCAACTAGCTAATTTTCTTTCATTATCTGCAATCAAATCACCAACTTCACAATTTTCAACTCATTGTCGTGGTACATCTTTATCTGATCAACATACATATAATATTTATTCTAATTATTTTACTAATAATTCATTATGGACATTACAACATTCTGACAGTTACTTAACTCCTATTTCATCTGCATCTACAATATTTGATAGTTCTAATTCAATAAAATCACCCACGAATGATAATGATCATTCTAAATCTATTTCTTCCACTTGTGATTTCTCAAATAAAAGTAATTATTTACCCCATGTCACTCATGCTAGTAGTGTACGCCAACCAAATGATGTAGTTTGTACAATTGGAAATATGATTGATGGTCCTTATGATAATAATAATAATAATCACAATAATATTGATACTAGTTCACATGTTTCTAATTTACCTCCTGTATCGAATGGACAGAAGATTAATCTAAATAATGCAGATAATGAATGTATAAGTATTAATCAAGGAATTACATCAAATAATTATGACAATAAAAATATTGTTTTGAAAGAAACCACAGATACAAATCATGTTACTTCATCATCTGCTACTTCTATTGATGACAGTTTATATCAATTATCTGAGGAAGAAATGAAAGAAATAGATACATCAGTGAGTTTTTTTCTTCGTTTTATCTATATAGCTTAGGAAATCTTTTAAAAAGATCTTGCTATTTTACGTCTGTACTCCACAGGCTTTTATTTAAAAAAAAACGCGTAATTATGCCCTTTCTGGTTTTGATGTTGAAGCTAAGATTTTTTAGGCTAAACAGATGAATTAGGAAAGTCAGTCAATCAGCTACAACGTAGGACCAGGCACATATATGCATCGGTCCAAGTTTTCATACCTCGTTAGCACAACAACATGAACACCGGATCCATAGAAATAGTTAATTTAGTGGTGGTAGTATATAAAAGAAAGACTGTATATAAGGATATAGTACAGAAAGAAAGATAGATATGAAGCAATTTTAATCTCAAGGTTTAAGGGTGTATACACCTACGCCATTGTGATCGATTCTGAGCCATGTCACCTTGAGTCTCCAACTATTGGTTACGATAGTCACGCGGACCCCAACCAAGTAGTCTGCATCTAGCAACATGGCTCACGCTAGAAGTTAGTGACTTCAAGCACTGATACCACTTTTTGGTTTGACCGCCTCTAACTCTTTTCCAGCCATCCGCAATACTAGTCAGCATAGCACGTCGTTGTAATCGGTGTTCAGGCATACGTAACATGTGGCCCAACCACCTCCGTCGATGAAGATTCATGAGCACATCAACTGATTTACCATCGTTCCCTAATACCCTGTGTCTAACCTCACTATTAGGAAAATAGTTCACAATGTATTTAACTAATCATTATTGAATGTCACCATATAATAACATATTTTCCAGTGTAAAGACTGAAGTAAAGAACATCTGTGCTAGACTTTACTTTGAATACGACTTGAATCTAAGCCATATAATCTCTTTTTGTTTAGTCTGTGCATTATACTATTGCAGTTAGTTTGGTCATAACACCTTGTCACACTTCAAAATAATGCAAGTCGTGAATCAGAAAAACATGATAACAATCTACATCATTGATCGTCCTACATTTTATTCGCATACTATTTTACAGAATTAATTTTACTAAATTTTACTAAATACTATTCAAAATCCTTTTAGATTTCTTCCGTCTAAACATATTTCAGACATATACCACTTATTTAAAAACGAGAGATATTAGATATACTCAACAAGCGTGTCCTCGATATCTTATTTTGATTGAGGTACTACATCTCACCATTTATTTTGCAATTCAACCGGTAACTTAATTCATTACAGATTCTAAATTATACCGAAGTCTTACCACATAGACTATTTATATATTTATTTCAACACAAATATTGGTACGAATGGGTACCAGATACATATGCGCCACACAAATCAAATGAGATTTGTGTGAGGGCTGTGATATTGCTCAGGTGCCCAAACTGAAGCAGGTGGTTTTCTTAGGGGGCCACACCCGGAGCCTTTGACCTAAAGGTCTAATCCACAAGGCATTGGAGCATTGTAGTATTGTTTGTTTGGATCTTCCCATTGATGTTTTTAGGACAGCAACTGGTCAGTCTGTAATTGGCATATGTGCATACTGTGCGTATTGCCTCGATATAGCCTCAATTCACAAGCACGGTAAGCGAAGATGGATAGTGGCTAGCAGTGGAATGGAGGACGCGCGTTTCGTCCTATTTGGGACTCGTCAGCTGGATGTACCTGCATCTCAGAGTTGATGTCCATTCTGGGACTCGAACCCAGTAACTCTCGCTTGAAACGCCATCGCGTTTTCTCAGAGTGAACATCAACTCTGAGATGCAGGTACATCCAGCTGACCAGTCCCAAATAGGACGAAACGCGCATCCTGGATTCCACTGCTAGTCACTATCCATCTTTGCTTAGCATGCTTAGGTATTTTTTATTTAAATTAATGACCCAAGGAGTTGATATTATCATTTATGTTTTTTTAAATTTATGTGTGTACATATGATACTCTGGTTTCTCTTTTTATTCCATTTATTTATTTTACAAATATTTTTGTCAACATAACTCGATTGAGTCGTCATAATGAGCAACCCTGACCATCACCTCAGGTTAAAAGCTACGGCCGAGGTTTTCGTGTACTTCTTAGGATGAAATGGGATTCTCTTTCTAGTAATTACAAATCGTTTTTAAGTGACAGTATTCATTGTTTAAAAATATTAGACATGTCCCAGAATACAAGTCAATGGTAATTCTATCATAGTTTTCTTCTAGATTGTTCATCATGAGATAAGCTTCCTCAGCTGAATAAAAAAGACTTTTCTGGGACTTTACTTATATTCATTATTACATACTCCTATTATTTATTTATTTATCGACCGTACTGCCTTCACTCCTTAAATCTCTTTACAATATCTCCACGTCGCTTATGAAGCACCTTTTATTGATCTGTTACACCTGGATATATGTGCTCTGAATAAACACCCTTGAATGGATCTAGACTTGAATTCATAAATGTGCATTATTTACGTATATCTATTTACTTACTTTGCCGAAAGCAAGTATCCTCATTCAACTTTAAATGGCATTCTTATGATGTTTAGTGATACAAATATCTAACTGCCCAAAAAAGTAAGTTTAATGGGATTCTAACTTGTGTCCACGAATAATTTAACGAATAGGCCTTCACTCTAAATGCACATACAACTATTTCTTTTTGCTGTGTTATTGCTTCTATTAATAGAAAACTAGTTATTCCTGTTTAAAACTCAATAATCTTTGACAAAATCTACGTGTTAGGGTGTGAATAACATATGTCGCTTAATGAATAGGAAACTTTCACTATATGGACCAAATTTCGAATATCCAACCGACTTAATAGAAATCGACATTACAAATCATCGTTGAACAATCAATTTAATGGAACTCGTCACCCTACATCAACTTCCTTGATTATGAGAAAGCGTTTCACAGTATGGTTAAAAGAACCTTATGGAACCTCCTTCAACACTATGGTGTGAGTCAGTCAGTCAGTCAGCTACAACGTAGGACCAGGCACATATATGCATCGGTCCAAGTTGCCATACCTCTTTAGCACAACAAGATGAACACCGGATTCATAGAAGCAATTAATTTAGTGATGGTAGTATATAAAGAAAGATTGTATAGAAGGATATAGTACAGGAAGGAAGAGAGATATGAAGCAATTTTAATCTCAAGGTTTAAGGGAAGATAAAGAGTGTATACACCTACGCCATTGTGATCGATTCTGAGCCATGTCACCTAGAGTCTCCAACCATTTATTACGATAGTCACGCGGACCCCAACCAGGTAGTCTGCATCTGCCAACATGGCTCAGGCTAGAAGTTAGTGACTTCAAACACTGATGCCATGTTTTGGTTTGGCCGCCCCTAACTCTCTTCCAACCGTCCCCAATACTAGTCATCATAGCGCGTCGTGGTAATCGGTGTTCAGGCATACGTAACACATGGCCCAACCATCTCAGTCGATGAAGATTTATCACCTCATCAACTGATTTACCATCGTTACCTAATACCCTGCGTCTAACCTCACTATTACTTACTCGGTGATCCCAGCAGATGCGAGCAATATTTCTAAGGCATCTGTGGTCAAATACTAGTAACCTACGAGTATCTTCTACTCTTAATGGCCATGTTTCGCAGCCGTAAAGTAGAACAGAGCGAACTGCTGCGCAGTATACTCGTCCCTTAATTGATAGACGGATATCTCGTCTTCGCCATAGGTGACGTAAGTTGGCAAAAGCCAAACGAGCTTTTTGAATCCGTGCTGAGATTTCGTCAGACACCAACCCATTAGGGCTGATCAGACTTCCAAGATAAGTGAAGTTGTCGACGCGTTCGACTACTTCACTCCCTATCCTTAGTTCGAGTGTTGACGTAGGCCAGTCCTGGAGTAACAATTTACATTTGGATGGGGAGAAACGTATCCCAAACATCCTGGCATTATTACTCAGTTCCAACAGAAGACTCTGCATTTTGTCAGCGTCTTCACCAAACAGGACTATGTCATCTGCGTATTCTAAGTCGCTTAGTGGTCCCCCTGGTAGGAGATCAATTCCTGTAGATTCAGTCGAAGAGAGTGTTATTTCCAGCAACAGGTCTATAATGAAGTTAAACAAAAATGGGGATAGTGGACAGCCTTGACGGACACCACTTGAGGTTGTAAAATCATATGACAGTTCGCCATAAGCTCTCACTCGACTGATAGTGTTCGAGTAAAGAGCCTTCACAAGGTTTATGTACTTCTCAGGTACACCTTTCAATGACAGACACTGCCACAGAACCTCTCGGTCTACAGAGTCAAATGCTGCTTTCAAGTCAAGAAAAACTATCATTGTCGGACGCCGATAAGCATGTCTGTGCTCTAAAACTTGACGAATGGTGAATATGTGGTCGATACAGCCACGACCAGGTCTGAAGCCAGCCTGATTTTCTCGTGTTTGCAGTTCACGAGTTTTAGTTAGGCGCCTGATAATTATTGAGGCTAGTATTTTAGATACTATGTTAGTCAGACTAATCCCTCTATGGTTATTGCAGGATGATTTTGACCCCTTTTTATATATTGGGACAATCAGTGATTGTGACCAGTCGGATGGGATTACATCCGTCTCCCAGATTTTAGCCAGAATATTAGTCAACCTAATCGCTAAAATTGGACCACCATATTTAAAGACCTCTGGAGCCAATCCATCAGGACCAGCTGCTCTTCCTCGTTTCAGATTACCTATAGCCTTTTGAACTTCAAGTAGGGTCGGGGGGCCTACTTCAATGTTCCATTCAGGTTTTCTAGGAATAGTGGGTAGTTGTGCAGTAGCTGAAGGCCAGCTAAACTGCTCCTTAAAGTGTTCCGCCCATCGTTCTAAACGTTTGGGTAGAGAGCAGATAAGGGTTCCATCTTTTTCCGAGATCGTCTCACTTACACTTGACTTCTTAATTCCAGTTTCTTTTATTAGTCTGAATAGTTGCCTGGTGTTGCCTACAGCCGCTGCCTTTTCCATCTCTTTTGCTTTCGTTGCCCACCACTGCTCACGATCGTTCCTTAGGCTTTTAG